GGGGGGGGGGACCCAGTGGCGGAAGCGCGGCGCGTCTACTGCGAACCCTTGCGTGTTGGCCGTCCACCGGCGGTTTTCCTGTCGCGGCCGTGGTTCAGCGAACCGAGCGCTCCGTGCGGTGCGGGATGTAAACACGGTGCCCGGAAAAACGAGCGAGCGCGCTCGGGAAATTCCGCTTTTCTGTTCCCGTGTTCCGCGTTCTCGCGCCCTGCCGGGAAGATGGTGCTGCGCGGCTAGGAAATGAATGAATGAATGGGAATTATAATTTAGTGGCGTTGTGTCGATTTACAAATCAACGCCAAAATTTAGATCAATAAGTATGTGAATAAATAACATTATTACACATTTCTTTATGTATTTTTTTCTGCATCAAGTTAGTTGCGCTGGTAGATAATGGAAAATAAATATATTCCGCTTATATATTTTCTTATATTTATTAATAAAGTAATTATTTTGTACATGCTATTTACGTTAAAAAAATGTTTTCGGTTACAAACCTAAATTGTTTATTGTTTGCGAACATTTTATCGGGAAGAGTTGAGGGTCCGCGCACACTGCGATCGCTCTGCATTCTAGCGGTCAGGTGGGGATATACGAACGTGGTCGAGTGTGGTGGCACGAGTGGCATCTGTGAGCGGTGTGCGGAACTGCGACTCGCGACGACCTGTATCTCAGAAATGAAAGGGGCATTAATTACTATGCTGCTAATGAAAAAATCAATATAAGAAAATTGAATGGAACACAAATCTGAATGAGTGGAAAATTTGATTGAGCGCTATCATTTTGAGTCTATTATTTCCGTGGAAATATACACACTCACACACCTCTCATCCAATACCATTGCTCCAAGTAAATTATGTAGAGTAGGAAATGAATATTTGTTTTTTTATTGCTTTCGTTTTGGAAAACCTTTTATATAATCCTTTGTCAAGGAAATTCAAGGTTCCGTTCAATTCTCCTTTGCAATCAATTATTCTTTTTATTTTCAGTAATTTTAATAGAAATATTTTGTTGGTATTTATCGGAGAGTTGCAAGTTGTTGTTCATAATACACAGACAGCTGAACAATTTCAACATATTTTGCTTATTACAATTTATAAAGCTACAGTTGAAGAACAGCTTAAGAATCCAAGAGCGATGGTGAAGTCTGAACCTAAATGTCCATACGCCACAAAGCACTCACTGGCGAGTCTATCCGTGTGTTACTGGTAAAATGATCATTGGCACAACAAATAATACACACCATGTGTAGAGTTTGTATTAAAGCTAACACACGTGTGCGTTCGCAAGTGGACCGTGGGGTTGTGTGTGTCCACAGGCTACAGCCAGCTGGGCGAGCCGCTGCAGCAGCTGGGCGCGGGCGGCGCGGCGACGGACCTGGCGTCGAGTTCGGGCGGCGGCGGCAGCGGCGGCGGCGCGCACGACGACGGGCCCGTCAGCTACGTGCAGCAGGCGCCGCCCCCGCAGCCGCCCCCGCCGGCGCCGCAGCCCCAGCCCCCGCAGCAGCAGCAACAGCAACAACAGCAGCAGCCCCCGCCCGCGCACTACGAGACCGACCAGGAGTACCACTCGCTGGACACGCCCGCCCACCACGGCGGCTACCTCGAGAGCTCGCCCGAGTTCTACTCCGCGCACCCGGGCGCCGCGCCGCTCGTCGACAAGTTCCAGGCGCACTACGTCAAGAACTACGTGCGAGGTGAGGGGCCGGCCTTTAACTTTTGCTACGGGGTGGCCACTGGAACATGGAAATGTATTGCTCTGGAGAAGACGTAGAAATATCAGGGAATTTGCCAAAGAATGGTATTTTTGAGATAGTTGTAAAACCAGACGTTTTATCTAAACAGTTGTACAGCATTAATTTTGTTCAATTTCTATTGGAACACTGAGATTTTTTAATTTGTACTTCATTACGGTGAAATCAGAGAGTTGACAATTTATTTTCAAGCTTGCTTGAATAATAGTGTGATATACTCTACACATCTTATCAGTGAGGAGGGGGAAAAAATACAGTGGAAAACCGGACAAAATCGGAGTGATATATTTCAGAAAATGGGTGGCCACCTTGTATTACTAATTTCAACAGAAGGAATATGTACGCAGAATATATTATTTTTAAAATGAATCTGTGAGTTGTCGACGCTTGCGATTTGTGTGTACCCAACGCCAATAATGAATCGATGTTGTTATTTAGAAAACTTAATTGTGGCCGCGACCATACTCGTCTCCTACCGTAATAACCGAGAAATCGTTTCACGACAGGGGTCTTCAAATTTGATCACACCATTTTAAATTGGATCACCAAGTCACCGAGGTCTTTAAAATATAAAAAGTGTTATTTTTAATTGAAGTAAGCAGTTTTTATTCTGAATCATTGAATAGTCTTAGATTAAATAAGATACGGGACTGACATCTAGGATATTATCACAGAAAATTTGACGAAATGATTACTACAGTTCTTCTTTCTAATTACAGTAATCTTCAGAGTCAGATGTATTATTGTATCAATAGATCAAAAATGTACTGAACATATTTGTATAAACTGCTGCTTCTCTAGAGATGCTCTGTTGGAACATGTTAAAATCCTCACGCGTTTAAAATTATTAACCGCAGTTATAGAGATTAAATACTGGTCCTATTACGATGAATTCCCAAATTCCCGCGTACGTCAGCTGTCGCTCGGGGACGTCCAGGCTGCCCCCGTACGTCGTTCCCTTTTTAATGGCCGGACTAAGAGCGTTCATCGGGAGCGAGAGCGGGCCGTTGGAAGGCATTCGGGGAGGCAGCGTGGCGTAGCCGTGGGAAGTAGGGGGCGGCGGGGGCCGCGTTTGAGGGGGCCTCCCGGGCGTCCCCCCGGGGAGGGGCCCGCCACCTGCATCCACCGTCCATTCCAGTCCTCTCTCTCCGGCGCCATTGTTGAAAAGCGAGACTCGCAGTTATTGATATTCGGTGGATTTGACACAAATAGCATTTCAGAAGTTGCACTATCAGCGGCAGAATTGTAATATTTAAACAAAATATGGATTTCATAATGGTTTAAGAACTGGTCGTAATTAAAAGTTGCAGTTTCCTAAAAAGAAAACCGGCCTTTAATGCTATGTATTGATAAGTATATATTTGTATTAACCAATGCATTTAATATGACAATTCTAATCGTAAAAATTATCCAAAAAAGTCTGGCTGAGTGTCTAATGCTGATAAATATTTTATCTCTGTCAATGCGATCATTTTCGGACGCATAAGGGCGCTAAAAGAAGCTTAACAGTTGCATGTCTTCAAATCATTGCTTCTGCTGATTATTTTACATAAACAATAAAATAATCAGCACAAACACTATAGTTTGCTAACTAATAACTACTCTCCCAAGTAAGATATTAATGCAAACTATTCGCAGAAATTATAACGTCTCTATGTCCCCGTTCCCAGCGTCCCTACTCTTCCAAAGCCTTCCGCATAATTCGTTATACACGTGATCGAAATGATTGTAAAAATCTATATTTCGTGAACAAAATTGTTAGTTAAAGTATCTTTTGTCTCCACGGTATTGTGTAATAATAACGAAAGATGAGACTGGTTTACTGTTTGAGTCACTTAGGTATAGTAGAATTCAGTCACCTAAACCTTCCGTTCAAATTTATATATCGAGAGCGATTACATGTGACTAATATTTATATTAGGCCTATTTGGTACTTAAAATTGTAATCAGGAAAATTACGCATCACGTTACACAACATTTGTGTCATACCTGTTTTAATTCACTTTTTTATCATCATGCTGATGCATATTTTCACGGTGTTTAAAATTTGTCAATGATTTTTTAATAATCATGTTTCGCTCTCGAAATGTATGGTTTGTTTCAATCAGGCTCTTTTTCGATTTGATATAATAGGTCTTGATTAAATAAAAAATTACAGACGTCGGTATTTTGTAAAAATTGTTTATTTCTAGAACGTTATTACGTATGCGAGACTAGGCTCCTGTTCGGTACAATATATAATATTTATATAGACTAGGTATATTCAGTATTCAAAATTCTAAACACCAGAAAAATTATACCTCACTTTAAGCAACACTTCGTGCGATATCTGTTTCGATATCACGGACAGCCAAGTAGATATTTATTTACATGTTTTCAACAACTGTAATCGCTAAAATGTCGACAGGCTCCCTCTTTACACATCGTTAAATTGAGGATTCTCTTCGATGCCGAAAAACAAGAAAAACAGCGCCTTTTCCGCACTTTGGAGTGTGTGAACGGATATCGCAATTTCTTGCAGGAAAAGGCATTCCATCCCGCGTTTCCTTTTGTAATCCACCGAAATAACAACCCAGCCGCACTGGGCGCGGCGGCGACCGCGAGGTGCCATTATCGGATTCGGAGAGACGCGAGTCGCGCCCGCAAACACCGCCGCGGAACAAAACACGCGCGTCGTATTCTGGCAGGCGCTCTGCCGTCGCGTCTGCGCCTGGCCGTGCCGCGCTGCGCCGCGCCGCACTACCCCACCGCGTGCCGCGCCGCGCCCGGAAGCGGCCAGCCACTTCCAGGAAGCCGCTGCCCCTTCCGGTTGGAGCGCTGCGGTCGCGCAGCCGCGCGCTCTACAACGCAAGATGGCGACAGTGCGAGCCGAATCACGCTCAGCAAAGGCCCCTCGCCATAAACGAAACAAAGTAAAAGAAAGACAAAAAAATATGTTGCAGACATTTATGGCTGTTTGTTAATGTTATCGAGTTTTCTATGAAATATGATCATGTCTAATTTAAACCTAAACCTGTAATTGTAACGTGAACACACAAATTCGATATTTGTTGCTGTGATAAAAATCATCGTAATTAAAAGCATGTATTAATTCAATTAAGTATTTGCTTTCTTCTAAAAGCCATCATATATTAAAAACAATTCAAATAATTATTTACTTATTATATTCTCGCAATGATCAGGTCTTGGTAGGTCGGGTGAATCCCCCTTCAAATACTACGTTTAATTCTGAAATTAAACCATGGTATCTTGGTTAATTGTTAAAATTGAGTTATTATTTCTAAACATTTAAACAGTAGAACTAGTGGAAATAATGCCGAGTTGGCTTAATTATTACAAACTTAGTTTGAATTTTCCAAACTGGCTCCTTTCTCCCTCGGAATTTTTAACTTGACTTCAAACATATATTCGAACTTAAGATTTAATTCGCTTGCAATAAGAATGATCGATCGATTTGTTAGTAGAATGAAGCGATTAAGAAGGCATTTTTAAAAGTATAATTATACCCAATATCAGTCGTATAAATTGGAACTTCCAATTGCCTAGCGCCAAAAATATTTCGAAAATTTCGCCAACGTTCAATCGTTTCAGAATACACATAAATCAATGTGAAGTTTGCCATCTGAAACCCCAAACAAAAATACTTATATTACCTAAACATTTAAGACTGAGTCATCTCTTGGTGGAACTTGGAGTTCTCCTTCATAAAAGGGCCGATTACAGAAATTATTTCGGGGGGGGGAGGAGTCAGATCGGATCTCTCATATTTTTGAATATTTAAAAATAACTGCTTGGAAATATATATTTGGAATAGGAATACTCCTTTGAATGTGAAGAGATCTATACATAGTAATTATTTGGAATAGATAGAATAAAATTACGAGAAAGTTGGCGGGGGAGACATGGCCACCGTGACCCCCCCCC